TTATTTTACATCTGAAATATTATATATTTGTAACTAAAATACACAAGAGTAAACTTTAAAAAGTAAGTACTGAATATTATGTCACTTATTTATGCTCAAATGTTTAATAACGGAGAACATTAAAACATTCCTGTTGGCCACATGTCGGCAAAGTTATGTGACATTAGTGACGTTTGTACTAACTTGGTTTTAAAGCCTTTACTTTAAAATATACGCCGTTCAATAGTCGACCTTAATCTTACAGAAAATTTGATGATTTTATGGATATTTAAAGTAAGCACTCAGACAAATTTAGTAATGCCAACATATTAAAAGAACAATATTTGTCTCTTATATGTAACACAGTTATATGTACAGTGAAGATTTAAGGTGACAGGAAATATAAATAAATGCAGCTTGAATCTTTACTGCAGCTCAGTTTTTGAAACAGAGTCATTCACTGCTGTAATAACTAATAATGATTGAAATAATAACTTTAATATTGGCCATATTATATTTACATTACCAAAGTAAGATGACTTTAGCTTCATGAACAACATGAGCTAATTGTTATTTACTAGCTAATCTTAAAATGACTGTTCAGTACAGAAGTGAAGCCCAATAATCATGATTTCACAGTCCCGTGGTCTCAGCCTCAGATACTTATCAAATCAAAGCTCCTGTAGAAACAAACAAACAAATGAACAAAATATTTTCTCCTCCATTTCTGTCAAATAATGCTGTATGAAATGTTTCTAGCTGTTAGTGTCATGGTTGCTAGGCAACCTGGGCAATGTACCGTAGGCTAGACCGTCCCATTTCAGAAGCCTCGCACTTCCGGCCTTAGCGGTCTTTGAGTACGCGGCCCTTGTGGACCGTTAAGGCTGCGTACTTTAAGGCTGCAGACCCTGAATTGGGATACAGCCACTGACTGAGATATGGACTGTAATAAAGGTTGTAGTGATTCTGGTTGTGATTGTGGCTGAGTGGCAGACGGGGCTGAAGACTGGGCTACAGGTAACGGAGCTGAAGACTGAGCTACAGGTAGCAGGGCAGATTGTGGTGGAGGAGTAATAGGTGGGGGAGTGGTAGGCCGAGCTACAGGCTGGGCGGCTAACTGAGCTACTGGGAGCAGGGACACTGGGGACCGAACTAGCGGAGACACAGGACTGCTGGACTGATGGCAGAAACCTAGCAGGCTCTACTTTCTCCAGGGGTCCAGAGGTGGCAACTGACTCAAACTTAGCCTCTGGGGAAGCCCTGGGGGGAATCTCCATCCCTGTGTAGCCTGACTGGACCGACAGGTCCACTAACTGTGCTGCTGCCTGAACTAAAGCCACAAGAGAAAGTGGAGGTGTGGTGGGGTGAAGATTTATTTATTTATTCACTCATTCATTCACTTAGTTTCACAGATGGTACAGCAGTAATTCATTTCCCCTACACAACCTTCCTTTTAATTAAAGTAACACTGTTTGTGAGATCTCCAATTTTCTGAACACAATACAAATAAACTTTGTAACTTAAGAGGTAGTGTTTTATTTTTTGCCCTAAACATAATAATTAATGTCTGTAATTTCACTATATCTTCTAGTTTTAATAATTTCGATTTCATAAACAAACTATTATTGTGTTTGCTATATTTAACATTATGCATAATTCGAAGTGCTCTCTTCTGTA